ACACACACACACACACACGCGCGCGGTGTGTTTCCTTGCTCCGCGTGCGCATGTATGAAAGTGTGTACGTCATGTAAAGTTTGTATGTGTAATGAATGTGAATGTGTACGTTACTTCGCTATCTTTGGAATCAGCGTGACGTAGTTCTGCAGAATACTGCGCCAGCTCTTCTTGTACCGCCGCATTATCTTCATGGCGAAGCGGGATGACATGTACGCGAGCTGGCCGCGCTCCTTCACTCCGTAGTTGAGCAGCAACGCGTGGTGGTCAAGCTCCTCCATGACCTGCAGCCGCCGCTCGCGCAAGTACTGCTGCACATCATCGCCGCCCGCCATGGTGCGTGCGAGGCCGAAGCAGTCGGTGAATCCCTGCGCATCAGAGACGTCGATGGCGTCGAAGGCGGAGCCGTGCACGGCATGTGCGACTTTAATAACACGCCCGTCGCCCTCCGACCAGTGCGGCATGAGGAAGAGCGGGGAGCGGTACACCAGCGCACTGCTCTTGGTGAAATGCTGCTGCATGTGCGTCATCATGGGGCGGAACATGGTGTGGGGGATGTAGCCCGGCACGCCGGAGGTCCAGTGCATCACGACGTCGTCCCAGAACTGCTTCGTGCTTGTGCTGCGCAGCCGCGGGTCGCTGGTGCCGTCGGGGATTGTGATGGTGACGTTGTAGAAGAGCTTCGTCGCCATCATGGTCGGCCGCACCGTCATCTTGGCGTCACGCGGGGTCAGCAGCTCGACGATCTCCTGCGAGCCAGGGGTGAAGCGCTTCTCGAACTTGCCGAGCTCCGGCAGCGGCGGCACGCACAGCTCCATCCAGCGCACCGCCGCCGCGTGGCTGGCGCGGTACTTCTCCCCGTTCTCCGCGCGCTGCTGCAGCTCCTCATTGGTGAGCGTCAGCTCCGGCACCAGCTCCTGGCTTCGGCTCGTGCAGATGACGCCAAGGTAGTCCTGCTGCATGCCGCTGGCGAAGCGCACTCGCACGCCACCGTCCTGCAGCGGCTCGAGGCCGCCCTTGTCGATGTGCGGCTTCGGCAGCACGTGGCAGCTGTGGGCGCCCACTTCGCATAGCGACAGCAGCGCCCGTTCCACCTTGAGGCGGTCACAGCAGAAGAATGTCGGGCTCTCGCCCTTCTCGCGGAACTCGTTGAGGTCAATGTCGCACATGTCGTTGCCGACGTGGTCGAACGTCAAGATGCGGCCGACGACACTCCCGCTCGGGACGGAGACATTCAGCACGTCGCCCATCACTTGCGTGAGCGACGGCGTCAGGACAATCGTGCCGCGGTCGAGGTCGTTCTGGCTCACGTGGTGGGCAAGGTCGCAGTCGAGGCCGTGCACCCGCAGGCAGAGGGCCATGAACGGCGCCATCATGCCGTCGCCAACCACGAGGTACTTCCCCTGCGATGATAGAGCGCCGTCCGGCCGGATGAACGCCGCCATATCACCGCGACGGGCGCCGAAGGATGTCAACCCGTGCGGCTGCTGTGTGCGCGAGGAGAAGGAAGTGGAGGTGGTGGTTGGGGATGTTGTCGTGGGCATTGCCGCCGCTGAAGAGGAAGAAGGGCTGGAGGACAAGCGGCCTTTGCTGCCGGCAGCGAGTGCACGACTTCCAAAGAGGGCGAGACGACGAGCCGCTTGAGCTGACGCCAGCGTCTCCGCTGGTGTGTCTACCACAACCGCAGCCCTCCCTGAGTCCCCATCTGATCCTCCTGCTGCTGGTGCCGCTGTCGATGGTGATGATGCTGATGACGGAGGTGGTTGTGATGATTGTGGGGGAGAAAACGAGGCTTTTGACGCGGATACTGGTGTCTCTGCGTCGCCACTACTGCCGCCGTTGCTGCTGCTGCTGCTGCTACTACTGTGGTGGCCGCCAGCGCCGACTGTCATATTCCCCTAATCCNCTCTGTTGACTACGACTCTCTCTTACCGCTGCGAAGTTGCAGCAGTTTCGGTTATCTCCTGCATTGTGGAGAACACGCACGCACGCACGCACAGAACAGAAAGAAAGACAGCGAAGGTAATGCGTAAAGTCGGTGCATCAAACGAGAGAAAGTGTCCGCCAAACACACACGCACATCAAATACAAACACGGCGAAAAAAGACGCCCCGAGATGCAGTGCATGATTGTGGCGAAGGGCACCCGTCCGTCACGGTTTTTGCTCGGGCGGCGGCGTGCCGAGCCGCAGCTCACAGTCGATGCCCCCATCCTCTAGCGGCAGCTGCTTCCATGCGCGGCAGAGCGCCTGCACGGTTGCAATTGTGTTGAGGTCCTCCCCCGGGCAGTACGGGTTGTCGAGCGGAAACTTGCCGTAGTACTTGGCGAAGTTGTGCGCGATGGTGCCGAGGAGAGCCACATGGTGGTCGACGCGGCACTCGCGCGCCAGCAGGTAGCCGTGCGCCAGCCAGTACGTCACCGGAGGGCACTGCTGCTGCAGAAACTCCGCCACATCCTCCTTTGGGTCGATCGTGCCCATGCTCCGGCTGCTGTTGGGGCCTGTGTAGTAGGTGTCGAAGACCCACTTCTCCATCATGCGGGCGGCGAGGCTGGTCTTGAGGTCGCAGGCGCTGGTGAAGAGATCTTCGTCGTGACCGAGTGAGATGCGGAGACGGTTGCGCCGCGTCCACGCCGGCTCCTCGTTGATCTCCTCTGCACGCTGCAGATTGTTGATCGCACGCCGTGGGGCACCCAACGCGAGCTGCAGCACCTCGCGGTCGATGAACACCACGTCAAGACGGCGCCGCCGCACCACAACGTCGCAGCTTCCCAGATAGTGCTGTAGCTTCACGGCAAACTCCTTCACATATGCATTGTTGTTGTCGCTGCTGCTGTTGGCCAGTTCGGGGTCGGTGGCGGCGGCGTTGACAAGCATGTCGCACTGGAAGGGCCGCTTCGACTTCACGAAGGCGGAGATCTCCGCTTCGCTGCCAACCACTTTGCGTATGGCGTCATGCACGAGGAGGTAATACTTCTTCGGCAGCGGCGACGCCATTTCCACGCGCACGCACACAAACACAAGCGAATCTATCTGTNCACGAGGAGGTAATACTTCTTCGGCAGCGGCGACGCCATTTCCACGCGCACGCACACAAACACAAGCGAATCTATCTGTTGCTGCCTGCCGGCCGTACCGTCTCGTCGTGCGCCTTGCCCCGCTCCCCACCACCCTCACTCACAGCCCTTCCCTAACTGAAGGTGTCACCTCTCACCTTCCTGTCTGCGCTGCCGCAGTTACTGTTGTTCTTGTTGTGATCTCTGACGTGTCCCGTGTTCCTTCTTGTCACTTTGCGCTCACGCGCGGCATAGCCACCACGAACTTCCCGCAGCAGGCCCTGGGCGTATACAGACATGATCGAAAGAACAGAAGAAGAAGAGGCAGCAAAAAGAGGTCACGATACCAGTCGCTTGCACGCATTCCGTACTGTTCTGGGTCAACTGCCTCTCTCCCCCCCCCCC